TATATTATAACATTAGCATAATTTAAAGAAAAAGAATATTGTTTATCTAAGTTAATTTATACAGTACACAAAAACATGATATGAGCGATAACTAAAAATCAATATTTATATTACTTTAATTTATATACCATTTCATTATTATGTTTGTGACTTCATGCAAACAAAACCGATGTTACTTTAATGACGATGTGCTGCCTAAATTATTTATATAGAATCAGAGAAGTTTGAAAATAAAGCGTAGATTTTCTACTAGTCTACACTTTTGACGTCACCTGTTGAGACTTTCGCTACCACTATATGAGTGTTTTTAAAATATGCTCCTCTAACTAGCATTGAGTCTTGCTTTTTGTCGTAGTAAGCAAGTCTTCTAACCTATACGTCATTACATCCGCTTTTTTTTCTTGTCAATTAACCTAGAAGAATTAATAAAATGTATGTCGGGTTTGAATAAGAGTTTGTATTCATTACATACTACAATATACTTTATGCAATAATCACAGTAAAGAAAATAGGTCATCAAAATATGTAGAAGCCCATAGAAGGCTAATGCCAGTTTCCACTTCAGCTGTGGTCGACGAATCAGGATTCATTAATCTATAGTTAATTAAGCCCGCTGTAGGTCACTACACGTACCATATACCGTACTGCAACGGTACATCTGCCTTAGGGTGATGTTTCGCCTATCCGGTTGCACACACGCGTTAAAGTAAGTTTAGTGCAAGAATCTGTCACTGTTGTAGGAAAAGAGCAAACGTCTCTGCGTCTTTATTTTTAATCCTTCCATAAATCATGTCTAAATTTTCCCTATTAATTTTACCGAGGTAAACAAGTATGGCGTTTTTTATCAAACCTCAGTGCAAACGCCCACAAGCTTTAGCTTGTCTCCTATCGAAGCTCTTAATAATTCATATTCACCTTGGCATAAACTCTTCCGCGAAAGTAATTTCGAGTTCTAAAATGTCCGGCCTAGAATTTTTTAAACCAATAGTTTAGGTCTTACCTCGTCTTATATACGTGGATTCAAAGACAACAATATTAAGTATTGCTGACATGTTCCTGAATCGAGTGTAAAATAAATAACGAGAGGATAGCATATAACAACAGGATAGCATAGGCCCTTTTTGCAAAAAAATCTGGCAGAATTTTGTATAGCAATTTAAATCTGAACTTACACCAGATTAGATATACCGGGTGAGAGGCAAAACACAATACAATATCAAGACCTTTCGACTTCGCTGTTTTCCTTAACCGTGCAATTTTTAGTTAACAATTAGCATCTAGCTGACCGCTGTAAAGCCCGGTTTACTAATAAGAGCTGTGCAAGGTTTGCGTAGCAAGCAAGGTAGAAGACACAACTTATGAAAATGTACTCGTTTTTAAGAATCAAATCCAATTTTTTTTGTCTTTAAAATGGTGTTGTGTTAATCAATGATAACCGCATGTGTATACGTATAGAGCTCATCAGCGTTAGATAAAAAAAAGTATGTATTTTTTGATGGATAAAGAAAGGATATAAATTAGTAACCTAGGACAAGCAAATCTTTTACCGTAAACTTAGTTTGAGAGATGACCACTTTTGGAAAACTTTGTGCCTTACTTTTCTAAGTACATTTCAGCAAAAATTCAGTCACAATATATAGGCTAAACAATGCAACATGCAATTTGGAGGTATGTTTTTTTTCGAATACCTATGTTGGGAAACGCGTATTATAGGCAAAAAAGGCTATAATGCCCATATATATATAATTATACCGACAGGCTCAACAAAGACGATCCACTCTGCCGTTTTGCCATTTAAATGAAACGGCAGCTAAGTGACACTCCTTGAAGATGGGGTACTTGGCTGTAGTGTGGGTTTTCAAAAAGTTCTGGATGTATAGGCATCACTTCAGGATAGTGACGCAAAGCATCATATCGCAACCCCGGAATAAGGCAAACTCGTGCACAAAGTTGGCTTTTTGGAGTCACATATCCGACACGGATACGACTTTGAGATTGCTTACAGATATATCATCACTAGTACTAACGGTAGCTGCTTATTAAAGGTAACTATACCACTGGTAGATACGGGGGTCTTAAGGTAAAGCAAATGCGGAAAACGCAGAAGAACCATCCAAGTGTGGACGATAAGATGAAAATAGAGTTCATGTTCCTATAATCGAAATGGCCTTGAATGTATGATCAAGGGCGAAGAAACGTTGTTTGACGTCCTACGCATAGAAACTGATCTTTATTTAAAACTGAAGGAAGTGGCAGAGCTTGTTTGACGTTGCAAAGTAAAAGAAGGCTTTTACGTAACAGGAACGGGATCAAATCGAGTGACCGAAGAATAATGACTCGGTCCACCGTTTGTCAGCGGCCAAACATGGTTTTAAGAAGGCGCGATACGTTTCCTCCAGCACCCACTTTAAAACGCTCCAGACGAATCGACATTGAGCACAACCTAATCGTTGGTAGTGTCGAGAAAACAATGGTCTAGCTGAGCGCCTCATCCAGAAAGTCGCGGCAAGGCTTAACACCCTGGAAACCGAGAGCTGCAGTCTGGTGAAACTGACTGGTGGTGTGTCTAGCAGAGTGGTGTTGGTCAATGTCGAGCCGGTAATACTGTGAAGAGGTTTAAAGTGGGTCAAACCGGCTGACATAAGCCTTTTATTAACGAGAGCAAAATAGTTTTATACTGCTTGCGGACACCACTCTCCAAAAATGTAAGCTGATTGTGAACGTAAATAATGTACAGCTGTTTGTTGGAAAACACAGTCGAGTAGTGCACCCGAATGTAAATACGTGTGCTATGAGTATTGATAGTAACAAAACTCCTAGATAAATGCGGTTTAAATGAGTATATAAGAAGCAATGCGATGCTGAATATTGCGATTTATATAATAAACTAATCTGAGTAAGCCAGTCACCCTGTATATATATACATTATAGATGTTAAATTCGGAATTTCGCTAATGATTTGTATTTAAGACTTTTTCAAATAAACATACTTTGACGAAATGTTGTGCACGTGCTAAACGCAGCAGTCCTGACTATCAAATGTGTTCGACAGAAACTCCCTCATAGCTTCAATTCGAGACATAAATCTATGGCAGACTCCTTTTTCTTTGAAATATGGCAAACGCTTCCTCAATAGCACGAGCAAGCACTCCCCGTTGTCAGGTCGAGACTTAAGCTCTTAATAAACTTACGTCTAAAAGACTCAAGCTTAATAACTCTACATACATAGCAATCAAATTCAAGTTCAAATTCGGGCTTTGCGATGGCCATATATGCTTATTCCAAAGATGCACGGGCAATCCTATAAGTGTAAAAATCCTAAATGTTGTTTCGAGGTCGAATTTTGTGTTGCTGGAACGGTGTAAGACAGGAAAAAACCGTAACGTACCGAAAATGAACACGGTGGCATAATTCAAAATGGGAAAAAGAACGATCAAGACATCTGCAGAAGGTACGAAGCTAGATTGTCGATCCTTTTTGGGACAGTATTCTACAGAAACGCTATTATAATAACGATCCCGACATGACGACAGTGTTTTTGTTTCTCCCGGTGATGCCGTTTTTTAACTTCCGCATCCATAAATTTCATCAATTTCCAACAACTGAGGCAAAAATAATCAAGTTACCTGTTAATTGTAGTAATATGAAAAATCGAAAAGGTTTAATAGAATCCAATATCATACCTCTTTTGTAGAACTTGAAAAGAAAAACAGCTTTCTACAACGAATGCTTCATAAGGGTTCAGCCGTTGTCAAAAAAGTAGCTAAAAATGGGTACATTTGTCGTTACGCTCAAAGAAAAAAGAACACATTTAATAGGATTAGTCTCATCCATCTTCCAGCAGCCTCGAATCAACTCGAAGTGAGTTATCCTCTGGAAAGATTTATACCGGATAAGAAGACAAAAGGATAGACCTACATACGTGCTCAATTTTAATTTCTTAGTAGATACAATCAATTGGAATTGGACTTTTTCTTTTCAGTTTTTTCTAAGTCGGTATTTAAGCAATAATCAATTTTTTTGTATGTGCTAAGTGTCATTCTGGGAGTCATATTTATTCGATATAAAATACGTTCATTTTAATAACAATTTTAATTCAGGATTAAAAAACCATTCACAGGTTCGTTTCAGGTAGTCTCGCATTGTACGAACTCTTTCATGCTTGTGCGTGAGTTGCTGTCAAGTCGAGGCTTTTGCTGAACCACCCGTCATACATAGTAGCAATTCAACGAGTTCAAATATGAGCTAAGATCTGCTCATTTTAGAACACGAACATATTCT